AAATATTTTATTTTTAATTATTTTTTATAAACTTTTACATTTTTCTATATTTTATTTTCATTTATTTTTATTACGTATTTATTTTTTTTTTTACTTTACTTTTAGGGGCATCGGGGGAAAATATTAGAGGTCTAAACAGATCCCTGATATTTGCCTTTTAAAATAGAAAAAGAGATTGAGGACACAGAGCCCTCAATCTCTTTTTCTGCAGCCCCTGTTATCAATGATCAGGAAGCCTCTATACTGAGTGTTCCTGATCATTCATAATTGAGGATATAGTAACCATACCATGTCCTCAATTATTTACAAACACTCAGCGATCACTGACCACTCACTGACTACCTTCACCTTCGCAACATCTCCAAAATACGCCCCTTCCTCACCAATGACACCGCAAAATTACTCATCCACTCACTTGTTATATCTCGTCTTGACTATTGCAACTCCCTCCTCATAGTTTATATACTGTATGTAGTTTTTCAGATGAAAGCAAAAATTCCAGAAACAAAAGCCTAGCCAATGCCCTGGCACTAACTACACACAAACATGGTCATAGTCATAACAAATACCTCCAACGTACGTATGGTTTTGGGGACAAGGACAGCGGGACCGGACCAGTCACTACTGGACTCTTCATTTTCTGTCACCTGATCACTCACGTCTTTCCTGCTTGCTCCAAGAATGCGGCAGGGCTTGAGTCTCATGCGGAATCTGGGCTTAGTAATATTGGCACATTGCATTACAGAAGTCTTACCAGGGAACTCTGAACATGTCTCTCTGTTTCTTATTATGAGTTCTCTGGCTTCCTAGACGGCAACTCAGCAAATTTGACTTCAGGAATCCGAGGGGGTTCATCATGCGCTTGATAGGCTACTGGGGTGGACCCTGCAGATAGCGGGACTCTCTTTCCAGGGCTTTAGCACGTTCACATTGTATATTTGTTCCGGTTTTCTGTTTCCCGGCTGACAAATTTTATGATTTACTTCCCTAACGCTCTCAATCACTTCAAAGGGACTCTGCCACCTAGCAAGGAATTTGCTCTCAACAGTGGGGACCAACACCAGCACCTTGTCGCCAGGTGAGTAGACTTGGCCATCTCTGTTGTATATTTGCTGTCGGGTTGCCTGTGTCTGAGCTCAATCTTCTTTTACAATTGGTATTACTGCTGCTGTCCTGTCCTGAATCTGTGTATTAGGCTCAATTATGCTTTTGTTGGGCGTCTTCTCCTCTTCCCAGGGCTCGTTGGCTATGTCTAGAAGTCCCCTGGAACAGTCTTGTGGGTTGCTAAAGGAGAACGTTGTTTTGGGTGGAAAGTCCATGGGCTTGATCAAGCCCTCAGCCTTGAAGTACCACTCGGCAATCTCCCACTAGATGACTGGCTGACTTGGGGTCCCCTTGGGTTATCCATTTTTGCAAGGCGACAGGTAAGGAACTTAGGAAGCGAGCCATGACTACCTGTTTGATGATGTGTGGCCCAGGTAGGGACTCCAGTTGTAGCCATTTCTGGAACAGGTGGATGAGCTCGAACATCTGTGATAGGGATGCAGCGATACTGGTATCGGTGCCAATACCGAGTATGTTCCGATGCCTAGCCCCATACCCGAACTTCCGGTATCAGGCAACCGGGCAGCAAGTCATTACACGCTGTCCGGCTTCTTGATTGTCGGGAAGCCAGCTCCATGCTCCCTCGTCACTTGGTGATGAGGGAGCATGAAGCCGGCTTCCTGGCCAATCAGGAAGCCGGGCAGCGTGTAATGACTCGCTGCCCGGCTTCCTGATTAGAAGGGAAGATGGCCAATGAGGAAGCCGGATGGCGAGTCATTACCCGCTCCCCGGCTTCCTGATTGGCAGGGAAGCCGGCTCCATACTCCATACGCACCAGGGACAAAAGAGCATGGAGCCTGCTTAGCAGCCCATCAGGAAGCCGTGCGCCATGTAATGAATCACCACCTGGCTTCCTGATGGGTCGAGAAGCTGGTCAAACAGGAAGCCGTGCGGCAAGTCATTATCCACCCCCCGGCTTCCTGATTGACCAGAAAGCCGGCTCCATGCTTCCTCGTTACCTGGTGATGAGGGAGCATGGAGATGGCTTCCCTGCTAATCGAGAAGCCGGGTGGTGAGTCATTACACGCCTCCTGGCTTCCTTAATGAGACTTCCAGTTTCGGTATTCAATATCAGCAAGTTCCGCGAAAAAAAATATATTTGGTACTCGATACCAAAAAGCCGGTATCGGTGCATCCCTAATCTGTGATTGTGGTAACATTCCAACTTGGTAGGACCAGTTGTTGACCCTCTGTGCTCGTACCACTAAGGTAACACCCAGCTGTGCTGGTATGTAACTCGGGGGGCCACCAGTCCTGCCCACTGTGTCCTAGGCCAACCTTCCCTTTCAACGGTTCTTTCGAATGTTACCAGGAAGACCTGCATCCTCCATTTTCTGTCACTTGTCAGCAGTTTCTTGCTATAACTTGCCAGAAGTACTCTACCATATGTGAGCAGGGCTGCTATATGCTGAGTTTTGGGTCACAGGAGGTCATTAGTAAATACATTCAGATATACTGTTAGCACGGGCTTGCATGTTTTGAGCATTACCATTTGCCAATGGATCTTTTCTGTGATCTCATCTAATGTAAACTTATTTTTTTCTAGCAACCATCATTGAAACTGGGAGACCTTGTAAAGCCACAAATACCTCCGAACATTCCCAGCTGGACCATGCCATTGTGACAGAAATCAAGTCCGTTGCCGGCGCTGACCATTTACAACAAACTCGTTTTAGTCATCGTCCGGCATTCCTAAGAGGATGGAAAATAATACCGCTTCAAGATGGAGCTGCTGGAGGCCCAGCGGCTATTTAGTTGGGGCCTCCTCCACCTTTCTGTCCACAGTCCTGACCTTTCCGGTTCACAAGACGATTTTCCGGCAGCAGCTTCACACCTTGACCATCCTCGCTGCCGTCGGTCAGCTGAAGAAAGAAGGCATAAAGCACCTCTACCGTGGACTGGCTCCGCCTCTCATGGCAAAAACCGTCCAAGGAACCCTGCTCTTCGGCACCCAAGGAAGCCTCCAAAATGTTCTCTCGGGGCTCAACGTCCCTGGAGCCGCAACTCCTGCGCTTTCCGGATGCCTGTCAGGGGCAATAGAAGCCGTGCTCCTTGTGCCATTCGAGAGGACGCAGAATGTTTTGCAGGACGGGCGCAACACCTCCCGTTTTCCCACTGCGGCGTCAGTCTTGAGAGAGTTCTGGACTTATAATGAGGAGCAAAAGTTCTCGTGTGGCATCTACAGAGGCTTCACCATGATACTCGTCAGGAACTCCCTGGGTAGCGCCATCTTTCTTTCTTGTAAAGAGCCAATAAGAGACCTGCTGAGCATTCAAGGGCTTCCAAGCTGGGCTCCGGCCCTGGGGTCCGGCTCTTTCATCGGTGCCTTTACCTCCCTGGTGCTTTATCCTCTGTGTGTGTTGGTGGCAAATATGCAGGCCGAGGTGGGGAAAGGTCTTCCGGGTGTGAGAGAGGTAGCCAAGATGGTGTGGGAAAACTGTGGCGGGCGGGTCTCAGTGCTGTACCGCGGGGCTTCCCTCATTATTGTACGGTCTTGCATTACTTGGGGCGTAACCAATTCCATTTATGATACTCTGAGCAGACAGCATAACCTCAAATAAAAACACAACAATGAATGAGCCAAATAAAACCTCAGATGAGTCTGAAGGACTGCAGTCTTCTAATTGGAATAGTGGACCACTGGACCGGACTCCGGCTTTTCCCTTCAGTCCCCTAGTGTCCCCACTCGGGAAATTTCCCGTAACCTCCTAGGTGGCCACAGAGCATGGTTGTACCGTCTCCTCTCCTGGGCTGAAATTGCTTACTGGGATTTCATTGCACACTGTGAGCTTATCAGTGATCAGTCTGCTGCAGGCAGGAAATAGCATTTCATTAGTCTCTCCTCCCCCAGTGATCAGTCTGCTGCAGGCAGGAGGAAGCATTTCCTCAGTCTCCAATCCCCCAGTGATCAGACTGCTGCAGGCCGGAGGAAGGATTTCCTCAGCCTTCACTCCCCCAGTGATCAGTCTGCTGCAGGCAGGAGGAAGCATTTCCTCAGTATTCCCTCCCCCCAGTGATCAGTCTGCTGCAGGCAGGAGGAAGCATTTCCTCAGTATTCCCTCCCCCCAGTGATCAGTCTGCTGCAGGCAGGAGGAAGCATTTAATTAGTCTCCCCTCCCCTAGTGATCAGACTACTGCAGGCAGGAGGAAGCATGCCCCCTGTTTCCCCTCCCCCAGTGATCAGACTGCTGCAGTCAGGAGGAAGCATTTCCTCAGTCTCCCCTCAGTGATCAGACGGCAACATTGTAACTTTGTATGCAGTCACAAGGTGAGAGGCTACAGCAGGGCCTGATCTGTGGCAGACATTTGTGCCCACAGACACTGCACTGGCACCAGGATTTACATGATTGTGTCACCTCTAAGCCGGCATCTCAGTCCAGGAAGTAGATGGTGACCCTGGATGATGCCTAAAAAAACATGGCTCCGTCCTGGAAGAAAGAACAAATCAGAAGCCATTGCCAGCTGGAGTCCTGACAATAATATATTATAATGACATAATACAGCATGCCGGCACATAACATGAAAACTATATCTGACGCCAAGTCCATTATAGTCCTCATATCTTGCACGCTTAGTATTAAAATAAAGGTCGGTTCATATGGCTAGTCGCCTGCCTGTCATGATGTTCTAATGGCTTCAGGAGTTCCGTAGCCACTGACTAAGTACGCGGATCAGGAGTTCACTTCCCTCCGACTTCACTGGCTGCCGGCATGTTCCAGGTCTGTGAAAGCGGGATGAAGCCAGAGGATAGCATGGCTGCCGGGCCAGCACTGGAAGCCTCTGCACCGCTCTCTGCACCGCTCTCTGCACAGGTTTCCTTCCACGTCCTCGAGTCTGGGCCTTATTACAGCTATAGAGAGTTACAACTGTCCGTGTGCATAAAGGATACACGGGGACGTCACTGACAGCCGAATATTCCGAGAGCTCGACAGCCACCGAAGTTATGTATAGAAAGAAAACGTCACGACCCCGTAAAATGTTTTATGTAACATGTCATCAAAAAGAGACACAAAGAACTCTGAGCTGTTATATCCTGTTTATTGCACTATATATATAGATATATACACCGATCAGCCATAACATGATGACCCCCCTACCCCCTTTTCCTGGCCCATCCAGGCATGGACCTCACTAGACCTCTAAAGGTATGCTGTGGTATCTGGATGAAAACCCCCACACCCCCTAATATTGAGCAGGCCCCCCTTTTCCTGACCCGTCCAGGGATGGCGTCCACTTGATTTCTGAAGGTATGATGTGGTATCTGGATGACCCCTCCCTATATATTGAGTAGGTCCCCCTTTTCTTGACCCAACAAGCCATGGACTCCACTAGACCTCGGAAGGTACGCTGTGGTATCTGGCACCAAGCCGTCAGTTGCAGAACCTTTAAGACCTGTAAGTTGTGAGGTGATCGGCCTCCCTGGATCGGACTTGTTTTTCCAGAACATCCCACAGATGATCGATTGGACTGAGGTCTGGAGAATTTGGAGGCCAAGTCATCACCTCAAACTCATTGTTGTGTTCCTCAAACTATTCTTTTTGCAGTGTGGCAGGGCGCATTATCCGGCTGAAAGAGTCCACTGCCATCAGGGAATACCATCTCCATGAAGGGGTGTACTTGGTCAGTAACAATGTTTAGGTCGGTGGTACGTGTCAGAGTAATATCCACATGAGTGGCGGGACCCGAGGCTTTCCAGCAGAACATTGCCCAAAGCATCACACTGCCGCCGCCGGCTTGTCTTCTTCCCATAGTACATCCCAGTGCCATCTCTTCCCCAGGTAAGTGACACACACGCACCAGACCATCCACATGATGTACATCAGACCAGGTCACCTTCTTCCATTGCTCTATAGTCCAGTTCTGATGCTCATGTGCCCATTGTGGGGACTTTTGGCGGTGGACACGGGTCAGCATGGCCAACCTGACCGGTCTGCAGTTACAGAGCCCCGTACACAACAACCTGCGATGCTCTGCGTGTTCAGACACCTTTTTATCAGAACCAGAACCATGAACTTTATCAGCAATTTGATCTCCAGTATCTCTTCTATTGGATCGGACTACATGGGCCAGACTTCCCTCCCCCCATCCATCAATGAGCCTTGGCTGCTCATGACCCTGTCACTAGTTCACCAGTTTTCCTTCCTTGGACCACTTTTGGTCGGTCCTGACCACTGCAGACCGGGAACATCCGACAAGAGCTGCAGTATTGCAGTCTACACATCACAATTTGGTCCTTGTCACTTGCTGCCTAGTATATTTACCCCCCCCCCCCCTTCTAGGTGCCATTGTACTATATCCTCCCCCACTTCCAGGCGCCATTGTACTATATCCTCCTCCACTTCCAGGCGCCATTGTACTATATCCTCCCCACTTCCAGGTGCCATTGTACTATATCCTCCCCCACTTCCAGGTGTCAATGTAATATATCTCCCCACTTCCAGGTGTCGTAATATATCTCCCCACTTCCAGGTGTCGTAATATATCCCCCCACTTCCAGGCGCCATTGTACTATATCCCCCCCACTTCCAGGTGTCAATGTAATATATCCCCCCCACTTCCAGCTGTCATTGTAATATATCCCCCCCACTCCCGCCCGCATTATTACGGTATATCGCCGC